TAATACTATATACTAATATTTTCTCCCATTTTAACCACTATATATTCATTTTCTTCCAGGAAAATTGAGATCAAGAAATGTTATTGCTGCTCCACTCATACCAGACTTATTCTTGGGGAATTTTTTTTTAAAGATTTATTTATTTGCTTAAAAGTCAGAGTTATAGAGGGATGGGGGAGAGAGAGAGAGAGAGAGATTCCATCTATCTGTTTCATTCCCCAGATGCCTACAACAGCTGGGCTGGACCAGGCCTAAGCCAGGAGTTTCTTCTAGGTCTCTCGTGTGGGTAGCTGGGGCCTACTTGGATCATTTTTTGCTATTTTTCTCAGGCCATTAGCAGGAAGCTGGATTGGAAGTGGGCAGCCAGACACAAACTAGTGCCTATATGGGATGCTAGTGTTGCAGGAGGTGGCTTTACATGCTATGTCACAACGCTGTCTCCAGGAACCCAATTTCTTGTGCTGTCTCTGTTGCCTCCTAGGATCTTCGTTAGCAGGGAACTGAAGATCAGAGTTAGAGACAGGAATTAAACCCAAGCTCTCCAACTATGGGGTGCAAGTGTCTTAAGTGCTAGACTGAATGCCTGCTCCTGGAGTGACTAAGTCTTATTCCATAATTATAAAACAGTGTTCAGTGTGTATATGCTGACAGTCACACAAATGTTGTTAAGCCATGTAGCAAACTGATTACAGTGGAGCATGGATTTTGGAGTCAGACTTCTTGGTTCAAATCTGGGCTATGTTATTTATGATGTATATGATCTTGGTCAAGGCATTCAGCTTCTCTATATCTCACTTTTCTCATCAGTAACAATAAAAGTCTAATAAAAGTGCCTATCTTACATGGTTATTATGAGATAACATCAGTATTATATTTAGCCTAGTGACTGACATGGAAGCATACTTATGATTAATGTTATTATCATGGTGTCTTTTTTTTGTATAACTCTTTTTTTTTCTAGAGTTAACATTTGAATCTCTTTCTCATTAGGTTAGTTTTTCTTCTACTTATCACTAATTTATCTGATAGAAATTTGAAATCCTTCTCACAATTTTCAACCACCTCTGGAAGTCAGTTCCATTTTTTTCCACTGTAGTACCTACCTCTAGGAGATTTCTAGCCTCTTGTTCCAACCTAAAATGGTTTCTTTCTGCTAAGTATCAGTCATTCTACCCTGGTATCCCTGAGAATTCATTTTACTACTTTCCTCTTTGGATCTTCTGTTTCCTGGATAACATGTGGTTTCCACATGTTTCCACCTTATTTTTGTGTATCATGTCCTCTAGCAGCTTTATAAGAAACAATGAATAGGAGGTAATGTTTTTGAAAACATTGAAT